GTGTAAAGCAGCCGGGCTGGATAAGGCCTCGAGCAGTCCGGGCAAGCGGGCGGTGTCCCTGTCCGTGGCGGGAAAGGGTTTGGGCTGGATGTTCGCTAAGGTCCGGTCCACGCCTTTAACATCCTGTGGTTCCGCGATCCCGCCGTGTGGATCCGCAGCGATCCGTGTGGTTCCTCAGCCGCCCGACCCCCGTCGTGCTCCTTGGAGCAAGTCCTGCCTCGGCAGTCCGGACATGTGCTCGTCTGGAGCAGTCGAGTGATTTCTGCCCTTCTCGGAGGAATTAGAAATGGTCCCGGGTTGTTAATGTGGGAAATCGGGATTTTTTGACATGGCTGGTCAAAGCAATGGCTGTAATCTCAGGAACTGCAGGGATGGTTTCGGGTGCTTTTCTAAACAGCCAAAGCTGTCACTTGAACGAGGAGGGATTGTCACACTGCTGTGGCTGTGCCTGTGTTCCCCTGGGCGCTGGGGTGGCACAGTTGAGGCTGACACTCCGGGCACAGGATGCCCAGGAGAGCCGGTGCCGTGGGAGACGAGATGGACCTAATTACTGAGTGCCACTTGGAGCTGTCTCTTGGCTCATCAAGTCTTGAAAGGAATGACAGCTTGGACATTCAGAGACACTTGGTTTTGCTGACAGATCGTTTTCATCAGCAAATGCCTGTCATAATTCAAAAGATAAATTACCTTTTTTTTTCCTTTAGGGAATTGGGCAAGGGCTGAGGTGACCCAGACTATGCCCTTGTTTGGGTTATAGGCACGGATCCAAACTGGTGGGGTCTGGCAGGGACAGGGCCCCAGGAGTATCAGCAGCCTCTGGGATAATGCTCTCCTGCCTTACAGACTGTGGTGTGTGTGCTGAGCTCAGTTCAGCTGGTGGTAAAACATCAGTGAGTTCCCCAGAGTGTCCCATGTGAGCTGGGGTTAAAGGCTGCACCCTGCCAGGGTGCTCCTCTCCCTGGCTTGGCTGGTCATTAGGAGCACTGTACTTGTCCTGCAATTAGTCATTGGAGCTTGTTGTATGAAAATGGTCATGCCTCTGCTTAACCTTGATCTCAGCTGATGCTCTGTCCCAGGTAATTACAAGGAGAGCATGGGGTTCCTGTTTCTTGGACTGGCTTACTGTTCCCAAAGAAGTGTTAATGTTTTCTGCTGCTGGCTCAGCAATGGAGCTGTCTGAATCAAATATATTCTTTTCATTGTTTTAGGCAAAAAGTGAAGGTCAAGATGAGTTTGCTGCTGGCTTTGGGAATCCTCAGTCTGGACTCTGCCATGCCTTGCAAGCAGAAAGATGCCACGTGAATTCTGGGGCTACAGAAGTAAGTCTTACTGTACTTAAAGTAATCCATGCTGGCACTTCAGCTGTGTCAATCTTGGAATATATTGCAAAGGGAAAGGTGGCTGTGGTAGTAAGATTCACCTGTAGAAAGTTAATCAGCATCTGGGGCTTGAATGTAAGAAAAGGGGCTTGCATTTTTGTGCCCAGACAGCTGTTTTTCTCTTGGATGTACTCAGTCTGTTTTGTGCATAGCAGTTAAAATGAAGGCTCTACTTCACCTTATGGAAGTACAACTCTTGAGACAAACTGAACCAATTCCCTTGTATTTAGTACCTGGAAAAAGCAGCCTTACATAGGCAGGAAACTGCTGGCATCGTGATGATACCCTTTGCCGTTTACCCAACTGAATGTTGTGATGAGCACTGTTGTATATCTGATGTGCCAGCTAATCAGTAGGGTTTTCCACTTTGATTTGCTCCTGTCATTTCTGATTTTATTTATTTTTTTCAAGGTTCTGTGACATCAGATGATCACCTCCACTGTCTTCCAGCCTTGTGCCAGCAGGAGAGCCCATCCACTTGTGGAAGTGTGGGTGTTTAAGGAGGTCAGTTGCTTTTCTACTGTCACAGTGCTCAGGCTCCTGCAGGCTGTACTGCCATCCAGGGAAAGCCTGTACTGGCAATGTTGGCTACCATCCTTTCCTTGTGGTACTGCTACAATTCTTCCAATTTGCAAGAGCTCATGGGAGAAACTGGGGAGAAGCAAGGATAAAATGTTGTGCTCTTTCTGCAGAAAACCCCTTAATATTGCTTATATAATAAATAGTGATATATAAAGGAATTCTATTTCTACCCTTAAAGAATAATTTTTCTGGCATAATGATGAGACTTTTGCCGTTTACCCCTCTGAATGTTTTTTGATGTGTATCTTGAGATCTGAAATGCCAGTGAGGGCAATACCTTTGTGTAAGATTAATTAAGGGTACAGGAAACTAACTCATTATTGTTATTGTTCTTAGCTTGAAAGCAGCAGCCTGGAAGGTGGAGTTCTAATGCACTTGGAAATGCTTCCATTGCCCTTCCTGCTCGTCAGAAATCCTGCTTGGTTCCACAGTACGGCAGGGAGTAGCTGTTCGCTGAAAATTAATAATCCTGGAATGAAGTTTGGGGCAGAGTGTCACTCTAGAAAGAGAAGCGGCCTTCTGGGCAGTCTGAAGACTTAGTATCAATTTTTGAGTGTATCAAATAAATGGATCAAAAGTGAATAAGGCAAAGATTAAAATGTGGGAAAACTTGGTGCTGTCTAAATGAGTGTTTACAGTGTTAGTAGTAGGTATGAAATAAAATCTTGGATTTCTGTTTTCAGTAGCTTATTTTTTAGTTGAGGCTATGGGAGCAGTAGCACTCTGATCCTGCTGGATGACATCCTGGGCATGAGTAGCACAAGCCTTAATTATTCAGTTTGTCCAGATTTGACAGAAGTCTGGACAATTTTACTGCAGCTTTTTATTTAAGGTGTATGTCTTGGATGCAAGGCTTGCTGAGGATTATGCCTAGTGCTGTATCCTTACTAGGAAGATGAAACACAGGAAAGCCCGTAGCTGGGGAACCATAGGGTGCTCCAAAAACTCATCTCCTACCACATGTTCTTAATTTGTTTTTACAGTGAGGTATACAGAGCTGAACTCACTGAGCTACCTGCTTACCAGGTTGTCTAATATTCTTTTACCTAACTGCAGCACTCTGCTATCCCCTGCAGTCTATATAACATAATGTGGAAACAGTGGGTTTTGCAGGTTGGGGTGGTTTGGTGGGTTTCTTTTGTGGTTTGTTTTGTAGACTTTTTTGTTTTGTTTGGGTTTTGGCTGCAGGAGCATCTGGCATCCTTGTCTAATCTAGTGTTGCTGTAGTGTAAAAAAAAGACAGAACATGAAGCAGTATGATCATACTTTTATACATTTCAAAACCTATACAACATGAGTAAGTAAACTTGACTTAGCATACACCATGACTTAAACTATGAAAAGAAGATTTTTAATGTTTTAAAAACTCCTTAACCCTTTGGGTGGGTGATACATTTGAAAGGAAGCAACAAGAAAAACTGCTGAAATGAAACATTCAATTCTGAACTGTTGGTTTAATTCATAGTTGTAATCTTATTAAAAATCCTGAATCCTAAATTACTCCTTGCTTGGAGTGGTAGCCAGGAAGAGACTACAGGCCCCTGGTTGGGGCTCTATTCTGAAGCCAAGGCTTTCCAGGATGAAGACATCCCTCCTGCATTCAAATAACTCACAAAACTTGTAATTCAAGTCCTGTCAACTATGCTTTATTCCTTGGTAAAACATCACTGAACTATCTTCTAAGTCTTTAGTAATTTTGGATTTCTAACTGCAGCCTCTCAAAAAACCAAAGCCTCAGGCTTTACTTGGAGTTTTTACTCTTCATTAGTGTTAATGTGAATTCCTGGGCTGTAGGCAGAAATAAACTTTAGCAGTTGATGGTGGCACTGCATGAGGTAAATATCTCTCTCTTGCAGGGAGTTTTCATCACTGAGCTCAAATGGAAATACAGGATTTGGTGCCACACATAGTGGAGATGTGCCTAGGCAAAGAAGAAATTAACCTGTAAGACTTGATATTTGCCAGTACTTTGGGGGAAAAAAAGAGCTGTGATGCAAATTATGTAGCAATGCAATCCTAGGTCATAATTCTTACCTTGTTTCCAAATCTGTGTGTGAACAAATAATGGCTGATGCTTAAAAAACAAAAGTAGTCCAGTGTTTTTGTTTCCCCAGGGAGGGAAATCTGTCCTTGGTTTAGCCTGAGCCAGTATTAGAAGAGCAATGCCTTAAACAAACGGGTATGAAGGACAGACTTGGTGCTGGCCTGTGGCCTCATTACATACTGCACTGAGACAGACTGACAGACTTCTCCAGTACCAGTCTTCAGCAGTGGGAGTTCTGGGCTTTGATTTGAAATTACCTGCTATTGCAATCAATGGATGTAGAATTTGCTCAGACTGGCAGATGTGCCAGTGATGCACCCAGACCTCAGGAACTGCTGTGCATTATTTACCGTGTTTCAGGGTCAGCGATGACTCGAGCAACAAGACCGCAATCACTGCATCTTCCTCAAGTACTCTCTGCCTTAAACTGAGCTTGGCATGAGCCTTAGCCAGCGAAATCCTAAGAGATCAATAGAAGCATGTCAGAAATAAAAAATAACTGCAAGCATGAATGCAATGTGTATTGCCCTGTATCAAGCACTTTTGTGAATTAAAAGTTAACACTGGGGTGGTTTTTTCATACTTCAGCTCTGCAGTTACACTTGCCACTGACAAAATACATATTATGCACGAACTAGAAAGTTTTATATATTATACATGCTAAAAAGTGGAACTTGGCATGTTATCCATTAATACTTTTTCTCCTCCCATAATAAAGCTGTACATATTTAAATCCCTTTTTTTCTAGATAGCTTTAATAATGCATGTTTTGTAAATAGCTGGGTTGTTGATTTTTTTTTTTGCCTGGCAAAGTTGTTTGAACTTGGGTTTCTTTTAACAGAGTCAATATATAAAATAAATTGCATTCATAAATAGTAAGATTGTTTATGCTTGAACTTTTCAAAACATGAATCTTACGTAGCTTTTTATTAAACAAGCTCCTGAGCAGATTAGCACAGTTTCTCTTTGAAAATGGGAAGTAGGACATACAGAATTTTTAGAGCAGAGGCTGATAATGTTGATCCATGAATGGAATCTCTTCTCACCCTACGACTTGCAAGATAATAGCCCTGAATGAGACTTTCTGCTTCTGAACTCAGTTCAACATGAAGATTCCTAGCAAACAAAATAAACTAGAGAGAGGGCATGAACTTTAAATATTTAACAGGAAAATAAGGAATTGACCTTTTTTCACACCTTTTAATATACCAGTGGCATAGTAATACAGGCTGGACAATATATTCTACAAACAGCTTTACTAGTAAAGATAGTCGTCACCATTTGGCTATACTGAATAAGATGAAGGATAATAAGGACACATCTTGGATAGTAAACAAAATTATAGAATAGTTTGGGTTTGAAGGGATCTTAAAGGTTATCCTGTTCCAACTTTACTCCAGTGGGACACTTTCCACTAGACCAGGTGGCTCAGAGCCCCATTCAGCCTGGCCTTGTGAACACTTCAAGGGGGAATCATCTGTTAGTTATGCTACAGCTATTGACAATTTAATTAGAATTCAATGTTATCTTCTACTGGTGGTTGTAAACTTTTTGGTCAGAAATAGATACTGGAGATCTGTTCTTATATGAAAGTTAACGTGGAATGTTTTCCAGAAACAAGCTCAAACTGTATTTATTACACTGACCCTTGTCAAGATCTGAAGCTGCTTTTGTCAATGATCCTAAGAATGCTAGTGGAAATATGGTGGGGGAAAGGGCAGAAAGTGAGTATTAAAAGTAAGCAGACAGCAGAGAGAACTTTCTGATGCCAAACCCCGTATGATATTCAGAAATATAATGCATTTCTAAATTATTGTCTAATTTGTTACCTCCTCATAATCCTGTGTTCTGAACTGCTGTGAAGCTTTGTACAGCATGGCTTCAGGATGAATGGCTTTTTTCAAGGTATGATGTACAACAGGAGAAGACAGGCGACAGGAAGGAAACTCATTGTAGATCAAAAGCCCAAAACCATCTACAAGGTTAACTGGAATCAAACTCACATCCTAAGGAAAAGATCCACAGAAAGAAACATCTATATCTTTATTTTGGGGGTTTGACTTGGAGAAGCATCATAGTGTTTTATATCTAAAATATCCTATATCCACTTATACTGCAAAATTATCTAATTAATTACCTGTACTACTTAGTAAAATGTTGTTTGAATGACACCTACTTTTTTGGGAAAGCTATCTCATCTTAGAAGATAGTTGATTTAAAGTTACTTAAGTTGTGACTTTCTGGGAACTCCTAACAAGTTTTATTGTTTTCCTTATTTTATTGGTGGAAATAAACACCAGTGACAGCTATAGCACAGTTCCTCTCAGAACAAGGCATGTGCTTTACCATCTGTCCTATTAGAAAGTTCTCCTTTTGTATATGTTTCTTTGAGGAAGAGTCCACATCTACAAAGGACCAAAAGTTGGTCTGAATTGAAACAGTGACTTGTTGGTCAGCCTCTTCTCCATACTTCTTCCCAGGAATAAAGACTGTTGTTGTTCTGCTCTCTAGCACTAGGATAAGACAAAATTCATCAGTTACATGATGGATTGAGCTTAGCTATAAATTCTAGTCCCACACACATCTGAATTCAGTCATGATTATGATTTTGCTGATTGTTATGATTAATGAATTTCTGTAATGTAGCAGATTTAAGTTTACAGGACCTTGGCTTTTTTGTCCTTGTGTCCTACACAGGCCCATTAAAAACATAGCACAGATTTTTGCAGCATTTGAGGGCCATAAGCTAGGGAGCAAACCTAGCCTTAAATCTGCATATTGTTTAGTTCTGTCCTCTCATTAGGAGTGGGAGATTACCAGACTGTAGAAGTTCAAGTTTATCCTTTTTATATGAACTTAAGTCTCCTATGTAACAGATGCCACCTTTGGCAAGCACAGCGCTGCAGGCTTGAATACTGGCACTTCCAGTTCCGTGTTTATCTTTGGACACAGAGGGGAAAATGTCACTGGAAGGTGGGTGTCGTATGCCACGGGGCAGAAGACATAAACTGTAATTCAGAAGCCTGGAGGATTAAATAATTCTGTCAGTCATAAATTGTTAAATTATTAGCCTCTAAAAAAACCTTGATAAGTATTAAGACTCACTTAGAAACAACAACAACAAAAAATCCTTAACATGAAACCAGCATCAAAACTAACTTTAAATACAAAAGGTTCAAGCCTGCTTTCTAACAGCTGCCATCAAGACACTTTCTTATGGATTAAACATGAGACAAATCATGGGTTGCTGAAGTAAATCCTAGGAAATCAAAGATGTCTCATCATTTAACCCCACATTGTTAACTCTCTTTTTATTCTACAGAAACTTTTCCAGTGGCTTAAAATTTTAGAGGATTAGTAATTCTGGCCATCTGGGAAAAATGAAAAGGCTGGAACTGGTAAGCTCTGCCTTCCTGAGTTACACACTCCCCTCCAATTCTTTTGGAGAAATATAAAAAATCTTTTTCATCCCCTGTACTATGTTCTTTGGCACAGAGAGGTTGCAAATTGTCTGTCTGGTTCCACAATCAATGCTTCTTAATGATTTTAAGATGTCAGAACATGGTTTGCCCCACTGTTATAACCTGGGAGAAAATTACTAAGTAAAATTACTAAGTAAAATTAGTAAGAATTA